GGATGGCCTCGATTGTTCATATAAATAGGGCCTTTGATGTATGTAATATTCACTTGCACAGACGCTGTCATACCGAGTGTACGCGGTGTGTGTGTATAGTCACAGTTTAATTGTCCAGTTGTACGTTATTATATATTATACTTATACATAATCATATCGTCGTGTTATAACTTATTATATTAATGCTAACATCATTAGTCCGTCAAGCTTCACTTTCAACAGGTTATGGGCCCAGTCAATAACCAAGACATACAGTCTAGTGGATTCGTGATCGAAGTATTTTTATATTTGTATTAACGCAGAAAACTACAACCAGTCGGAGATATCCTGGATTTCGGAAAACGGCGGAACAGTGTACATAGGTAAAGTTTTGTTATAAATTGTTATACAGGAAAGTATACGGGAATCCATCGGTCATGGAAGACACGGTGAAGATAACAAAATTATGTGCGGAAAACTGGTCGTTATGGAAATTCCAGATGAAGGTCATTCTAAATGCCTTGGAAGTAGGTGAGATAGTTTCAGGTGAATGGACGAAACCAAGTCTACCTATAAAAAAGTCGGCAGGAGAGACCGACGAGGATGCCAAAACACGTTGGCAAAGGCAGACAAACGCTTGGCAAAAAGCGGACGGTAAATGTCAGAAAATAATAGTTACCTCAGTGGACGATGGTCCATTACAATATTTGATTAACTGTGAGACTGCATTGGAAATGTGGGAGAAACTGCTGAGTATTTACGAGCAGAAGTCTGAGGCAAGTATACATTTGCTTCAACAAAAATTTTTCAGTTATTCAAAGGAGTCGACAGATGACATGTCGACGCATATTTCTAAATTGGTCAATTTAGGAAGGAAACTGAGAGTAGCGGGTGAACCAGTTACGGATAACATGGTTATGACAAAAATACTAATGACATTACCAAAAGAATATAATCATTTTTACAGTGCTTGGGATTCAGTCCCAACGGGAAGTAAAAATATAAATAATTTAACTAGTCGGTTGTTGATTGAAGAATCACGGGTTATCCAGATCAAAGGTGAAGTTGGTGAACAAGAGAAATCGAGTGCATTTCCAGCCAAATTTCAAAACAGATCCGATGGAAAAAAACGGCAGTTATGGTAAAGGTAAAAAACAATTTACTAGTAAAAGTAATGTTAAATGTTATTACTGTGGTAAAATTGGTCATTATAAAAGAAACTGTAAGAATTTTCTAAGTAGTATGAAAGGTGGGAAAACCGGTACTACAGGTACAAATTTAAATGCATTTGTAAGCGAGTCAAGGATAAATGAAACTACAACAGATACGTGGGTTTTAGACTCAGGCGCGTCGGATCATATGAGCTCGAACCTAGAATGGTTTACAAGTTATGAACCATTGAAATATACACAACAGGTGACAATAGGTGACGGAACAAATCTATATGCAACAGGAAAAGGTAATATTAATATATTATCATACGTGAACGGTAATTGGAATAAAAATTACTTGGCAAATGTATTGCACGTGCCGGGATTAAAATTTAATTTATTCTCGTGCGGGTCAGCGTTAGACAAAGGTTTAGAACTAACGTCAGACAATAAAACGTGTGTGTTCAAAAGAAACGGGATTCCTGTATGCATAGGCACAAGATGCGGTAGGTTGTTTGAATTACAGATCAAAGTTGAAGCACCATCGAAAGCTGAATGTTTTGCGAACATTGCAGTAGAAAAACGATTAGAAGTATGGCATAAGCGTTTAGCTCACCAGAATATTCAATACGTGAGGAATTGTTTGGCAAAACATAATATTGATTATTCAGCCAAGGACGATCAATTTGTATGCAGCGACTGCATAATCGGGAAACAACACCGTCAATCGTTCAGTAAAAGTGAGACCGAATATTTTAACGTCGGCGATTTAATACATGCAGATTTATGTGGACCGATGCAGAGGGACTCTATCGGTATGTCAAAATATTTTTTATTATTTAGAGATGACTACTCACATTACAGAACGGTATATTTTATTAAAAATAAATATGAAGTAAAAAATATTATGGAAACATTTATAAAAAGTGTTAAAACAGAAACAGGATCTAAAGTCAAAATATTAAGGACAGATAATGGGTTAGAATTTGTAAACAAGGATATTACAGGTATTCTACAGAAATATGGCATACGACACCAAACTACGGTAGCATATACGCCGGAACAGAACGGGAAAGTCGAGCGTGATAACAGAACAATCGTAGAAGCTGCCAGGACAATGATATGTGCGAAAAATCTTGACGTGTCATTATGGGCAGAAGCTGTGAACACAGCGGTTTATACACTTAATCTAACCGGAACGAGTTCACAGATTGGTAAGCCACCTTACGAGTTATATTATAAAGTCGTGCCAGATATTAAACATTTACGAGTTTTTGGTACTGCGGTATATACACACATACCAAAGCAAAAACGTCAGAAATGGGATCCAAAAAGTGAAAAAGGAATATTTGTTGGATATTCGAACAGCACGAAAGGTTATCGTGTATGGTATTCGAAAACAAATAAAATATCCGTGTGCAGAGACATTATATTCGAAGACGAATGTAATAATTATGAAAATGTAATTGCAGACACATTAGAGTTTACAGACACTTAAATTAATTCAACGGGCGTGCGTGAGAAGGACGAAAACATAGTCGATGATAGAAATGTTATGGTTCTACGTGACAGGAATACACTTAAGAAGCCGGACAGGTATAATGTTCAGACTTTTATTGCTAACTGTGTCAGTCCATTGAATTATGATGAGGCAATTACTGGGTCAAACAAAAATGAATGTAATAATGCTATGAACGACGAAATTAATTCATTACACGAAAATCAGACTTGGACTCTAGTCGATTTGCCACAGGATAAAGTTGCATTACGAAATGCATGGGTGTTCAAAACCAAATATAAAATTGACGGTAGTATAGATAAATTTAAGGCCAGATTGGTCATTAAGGGTTGTTCACAGAAATATGGTATAGATTACCATGAAACATTTTCGCCAGTGGTCAGATACGAATCAATAAGGGCGATATTCGCAGTAGCAGCTGTGGAAAAATTAATACTACGACAATTCGACATCAAGACAGCATTTCTGTACGGGGAACTACAGGAAGAAATATACATGGTACAACCACCAGGTTACGAAGATGGCTTAAATCAAGTATGTAAGCTTCAGCGAAGTTTGTATGGCTTAAAACAAAGTCCAAGATGTTGGAATATACGCTTTAAGAACTTTTTGAATGCATTTGGTTTACAATGTACCGAAGCGGATGCATGTGTATTCAAAGCTGATAACAGCCAAATTATTCTTGCAATATTTGTTGACGATGGTTTAATCGCGGCAGATAATGAAGAGATAATAGAGAAACTTTTAACGAACTTGGAGAAAGAGTTTGAGGTTAAAAAGGGAAACTTAGAATATTTTCTAGGTATGCAGGTAAACTTAATGAAAGATGGTTCATTATTTGTGCATCAGACAAATTATGCATGTAGCATAATTAATAAATTTAATATGCTGGACGCCAAGGAACTTTCAATTCCGATAGACAAATCACATACTATTGAACAAAAGGAAGAATCGGAGATATTAAGTGAAGAAATACCTTATAGGCAGGCAGTAGGTAGCTTACTGTTTTTATCACAGGTAACGAGACCAGATATAGCATATGCAGTAAACTTTGCTAGTCGTTACTTAGCAAAACCAACTAAAGCTCATTGGAACTTGGTAAAACGGATTATACGATATATCAAGCGAACATTTAATTATGGCTTGTATTTTAATCATAATACACAATTGTCATTAGAAATATTTAGCGATTCAGATTACGCAGGTGACGTTCAGACACGACGTTCAACGTCAGGATTTCTATTTAGATACGGGTCGAGCATAATTTCATGGACATCGCAGAGACAACATTGTGTGTCATTGTCATCGACCGAGGCTAAATATATTTCGGCCAGTGAAGCTGTAAAAGGGATCATGTGGATTACGCGGTTGATAATAAGCTTATCAAAAACCGGTGATAAACAACCGGTATTATTCATTGATAATCAGAGTGCTATTCGTTTAGTTAAGAATCCGGAGTTTCATAAGAGGACTAAACACATAGACGTACGGTACCACTTCATACGGGAGAAATACGAAGAAGGACAATTCCAACTACAGTACATTGGAACAGAGGACCAGATTGCGGACATTCTAACCAAGCCTTTGGTTAAGGAACGATTCGAGAAGTTGCGGTCAGCCATAGGAGTGACTACAATTAAAGAAATTATTAATTGAGGGAGGGTGTTGAAATATACAATTAATATTAGTATTCAAACCATGTAAACACACGTGCGTGTACAATGTCGTTTTCTAATAGATACTTATGCAGTTACGATATAGCTGTGTAACACCTTTACTATCGCTTTCTATATTATATACGGATACGGGATGGCCTCGATTGTTCATATAAATAGGGCCTTTGATGTATGTAATATTCACTTGCACAGACGCTGTCATACCGAGTGTACGCGGTGTGTGTGTATAGTCACAGTTTAATTGTCCAGTTGTACGTTATTATATATTATACTTATACATAATCATATCGTCGTGTTATTACTTATTATATTAATGCTAACATCATTAGTCCGTCAAGCTTCACTTTCAACATATATTGGAGAAGAGTACAATTTTTTTATGTGTGCTTGTACACCCTTATATCTTCCCGAAATTGCTGCAGCGCCATCATATCCTTGGCCACGGAGATATTTTAGTTCTACTCCAAACGTACTAAGATTTTCTAAAATTAAATTTGCTAGTCCTTTTCCTGTAGTATCATTTGTTGGTATAAATTGAAGAAAATCTTCACGGAGTTCTAATTTGTCTAAGTCGACATATCTAACGCACAAGGAAACTTGTTCCATTCCGGAAATATCAGATGTCTCGTCAGCAAGTACTGCGAAACACTTTGCCTTATTTACTGATGATACAACTTAACTGAGTAAAACTGAGTTACAAGAATCTATGATAGCGTTTTGGCTCGTGTTACTTAAATATTTAACTTTTCTTTCACTTTCTAGAATTGACCTTAATACATCGTCTCCCTGTGCTCGATAACGAATAATTTCACGAAAATTGCCTTGATTATTTTGTAGATTATCATCAACATGTAAGCGTCCCCAGTCAATGTGTCCTCTTAAAGGCATATTTTGACGCCCACACAACATTATGGCTTCAATGATGGGTTTAATATTTTGTCGATTTTCTAAAACTTGTTTCATTCTTTCGGTTTGTATCATGTTGATAATAGATGTTTCGGGGTTGTTTCTGATATGTAAGAGAAGAATGTTTATTAAAATTTTCAACTGCATGTTTCCAATTATCAAATTTTTTTAGTACCAAGCTTCCTAATAATTGAGAATTTGTTCCATCTTCGTTTTTGGAAAATGCTACACAAAACTTACAAAATGCACCATTTTCTACTGCCGAGTATGCCAACCAAGAATATCACATCAACCAAGAATATTGAAATTTAAGATTTTTTTCCTTCTTTTTCTTTCCACAAATATAAGTTTTTGAAGGAAAATTAAATTGAACGTCAGGTTTCCAGAGGTTATTTAAAACATTTATTATATCGTTTTGATCAAGTTTTTTATTTTTGTAGAAACTTATATCAAATGGAGACGTAGAGATCAGTGCAGGAGAATCCAAATGAATTTTTTTAGGATTAGTAGAAACATATGATAGCTGAGAAGTAGATCTTTTATTTGTTGATAGTTTCTCTTTCTCATTAACGTGTGACGAATTCGCCATATTATCTGAAGATTTCAAATTGTCATTTGTTGGTATTATTTTGAAGAAATGTGTTAAAGATTTTTGGTTTTTATTTGACATAATTCAATCGATTTTAAACTTTAATCTATAACCATAAATATAATCTATAAGCAATCTTATTTAATTAAACACTGATCTAACAAAATAAAAATATAATTATTAATAATACTCAATACATGGTGACTAACCATTTATGTATTATTTAATATACCAATCAGTGGCGTAGCGTGGGTTTAAATTTAATATATGCGTTAAAAATGGCAAGTTAATAACACTCAAAATGATACCAAAACAAATAATACCATCAAGTAACAACAAAATGTAATTTATAATTTTAAATTATTATAACTCGATCGTGGCTTTAATTGAATTTTAATTTTTTCATTTAAAAATATACCCATACCTTTTACAACTGAAAGTGTAAGCAATGCTTACACTGCTTATATTCACGCCACGCCACTGCTACAGAGCACAAGCACACGCTTTGACAATATACATAATATTATACTACTGTCTATACTCTTTGCTACTTGCTAGCGTAAGTTAAATGAAAAAAAAAACATATTATAATTTTTTAATTATAATTATTGACATAAATTTAATATTCAAATTTTAAAGAACATGTTGAAATTTGAAAATAATTAATATTAAGAAAAATTAAAAATTACATTCACGATACAAAATCATTTACTTAGATTACATTTTAAATTAACTACATATTATTATGAGTCAAATTATATGGATAAAATCTTTGTAAATTAAGAATGAAAACGATTTAAAATAATTATTATAAATTTTACTAACCTGAATAGACGTTCGGGTTCGACAGGCGCGACGGCTTAAGGAAAAGTGATGGTCAGTTTATCAACTATCGCTGCGCTAGGTAATGTACCTACGTTCTTCGAATGGTCGAACGCTATTATTATTACAAATAATAGATATCGTAATCGTAACGTCATAATTTCAGGGAAAATATGGTATTTATCTAAAAAGCTGTAGATAACATTCTAATATACAAAATAATAAAGATGAAATCACCAGAATTATGTAGGTACAAGCGTACCTATATCCGCATATAAAAATCGTAATCGTAATAGCTATACAAAAAAAAATTACTGTCAAAACCGAAGCGGCTCGAGTGAATAATGTATCATAGCTTAAACTCGGGATCTGGGGGGCGGTCCAGACCCCCTGGACCTAACCCGTCGTATGGGTCTTTTTCAAAAGAACTTCGAGCTTGAAGCGAAAAATCACTCCTATCGGGCCCCCGTCTTCGGGCTTGACGTTTTCACTGCTGCCCGCGTCCGACGGTCATAAAATCTCCGGGATTCGCTAAATCACGAAATTTTTTTTTTTCAAATTTAAATTTTTTATCGCGTATTCTGTTAATATTTGGCGAGACAAAATCAAGCCCAAAGACCCGGAAACGATTGAACGAATCCGGGATTCGCTAAATCACGATTTTTTTTTTCGGACGGATCATTTCAAAACTTCAACACATGATAGATCTCGACAAAAAAACATTAATGGCGTCTTGTGGGGAAGCGCTGAGATCATTATTTAAAAAGTTATTGGCGATACAAAAAGTTGATTCGGTGATCAGAGCTGTTCGGAAGGTCCCTGACCGCCGTCCATAGACCACCCCGGTACTTGGCTTTAGCGAGTCGCATTGTCAATTCTAATTTTCCCTTCCAGAATGTCCCATCGGATGGGTCTGATCTAGCGAAGACCTATATTGACCAAAGCGATAGAGCCGACGGACCGACCGTCATTTTTTCGGAGACAACTAATCGTCATTTAGTCCCATCGGATCGGATTTTTTTCAAAGAATTTCTGGCTTGAAGTTCAATAATTATCCTACTGCTCTCCCGTCTTCGGGCTTGAAGTGCTGCTCGAGTGCTGATTTCCACACCACCTTTGAGGTACAGCAATAAGCGCGTTTTTTTTATAGTGATGTCCCCATGAGGCCTAATCCACTTTTTCACTGTCGTGATAATAATAACAATAATATTTATAATAACAATAATAATAATTTTATTTAGCAAAAACAATTTACATTCACACTAATAATGAAAAAAAAAATTATGGTAACAATGATTTTACTTTAATAAGTATCTTCTTTCGGTATTTAATGTTTTTTAAGAAGTAACTAATTTTTCTCATTTTCGCCAGGTCAATCACGGCGTGTTCTGAATAGTTATTCTTCGTGTACTTTTCCTTTGTCATTTCCTCTGCCAGGATCTCTGCTCTTCGTATGTACACGGCACCATCGAATCTGTCTCCCAGTTTCTCCACGTAGAACAGATCGATTGTGGCTGACGGGTATTCTTCAAATGCCTGGCAGTCTCGGATCTTGGCCCGCCATTCTTCGGCGTCAAATTTTATGTATGGTTCCAGCGGGAACAGATCTTCAAAACTGAAAATGTAATTAGATTTTTAAAATTCAATTCGTACGTCCTGTTACGCATATGCGGTTGCTTACTTTTTATCAACGTACGACTTGACCAACGCCGTGTGGTCAACGGTTTCTATCTGTTGGTTCCGCCGGAGAGCTTCAGACGCGTCCGGCAGACGATAGCACTGTTTGGCTGTGCGGTCAGAGTGCTGTAAAGCCTCGGCGATTGCCCCAGACGTTACAGCATCGTGATCGCGGCCGGACGTCTCTACCATTTTTCTAAAAACGGAAGCCGTTAATTTTTGTCCGAAAATCCTCGTCACGTCGTCGTAAATCTTCACAATTTTTTCGCCTCGGTTAGTGACGAAAAAGTTTGGCCGATCATAACCAGTTCTTCTTCGGAGGTTGTAGTAACTGTGGATGGTATACAATTAAATGTTTAAAACGGTGATGTTTAATGTGGAAATGTCATTTAATAATTACCGGCCCAACCACTTCTCCATCTGCTCGTTGAAGACAAGGGTGGCCGGCTCCTTGTTCCCGGTCTTGTGGTCGGCGACCATTACTACAATTTTATTTTCTTGGTGGACCCGATTCTCCCACTCCCTCAGTGTCATGTTGACGGCCACACCGCTACGCTGTTTTGTCATCCACAGTATTTGTATGGCCAGAGCCGCCGTAGTCTTTCTCCACAACCCCGATATCTGGAAAATCAAACGGTTAGAAACGATGTAAATCGAGCGTTGAGTTCAGACACACTAACCTTCTTCTCTGCTGGACCGCTGTTCTTTTCACTGCGAACGGTGATGGTCCCATCCGTCGCAGTGAACGTGCGTTCCAGCTCACCCAGGTTGCTCTCGATGCCTTCCCGGATGACTGAAAGGCATCGAACCACGTCATCGTATTCAGGCAACTGTTTCGCCTGCTCCGTCATCCGAATAAATAATTCGGCCGGCTGTTGTTTGGTCTTTTTCCTGTACACGAGGTTCAGCTTTTGGTCCAAGAGCTTTATCTTCGTGATGGTGGCCATGCATGGTGATAGATCAAAGCACTTTGGAAATGATGAATCATCGTAGACGTACGAGTGGATGACGTGGTTGAATAGCAACCTCATGTTTTTGAGATAATTTATGCCTTCGTCTGCCCCAACGACTCCCGTCTGAAAAACAAAACAAAGTCGTCATTAACTATAATTCATATTACACTAATTTAGATAACTAATTACTTGTCGAAGTACTCCATATATGGCATGACATCTGTGGACACCAAGTCTGACCAGTGCCTTGGCGGAAATCCGCTGTCCACCAGATGCTGGTGTACATAGTTCAACACGCGTGAGACGTTGGCCACGTAGTTATCAGCTGCCATGGAACCATCACCGTGGCTCATTTTGAGCGTGTTCCCAAAAAACACGATCAGTGGGTGGTTCCGCGGTAGCTGATGGTTGAGGCCCATATCTTGAGCCAACCTTCTCACGGTTCTGTAACAAAAATCAAGCGATATAAACACTGCATGTCGGACCGGAATCCTTGAATTTAATCCTCAATGAACAAATACTCACCGAAGACCTTTGGTGGGGCTAGGCTCGTGTGGGACGGCGGTGGTGGACGGTTTTTCAGCTCTGGCCGGAGCGAGTGGTGTCTTTGGGACCGGTGGTGTGATTCCGGTTGCCGATACCGGAGGCTGCGGCTGTGGAACCGGTGGTGGTAAACAACGCGTGTACCGGTCTGCAACGTCGTCGACGTTTAAAATGTAGGCCCGGAAGGGATTCGTGGTGACGGGGACTCCGGGGAGGTCCCAAGATCCTCCGTACACCTTCATCCTTCCCATGACGGTGAGCCTGCAACGGAAACAAATGTAAATTAAACAAAGTCCTAGCGAATATTTTAATTTTACACAACGTACTGGTGAGCGGTGGCCCTGTATGAGCGGTCATCCCAAAAGGCTCCCAGCGTCCGTTTGATAACCGCCATTGGGATGACCGAGTACGACTTTCTTGACTCAGACGTAATGAAGGCACAAATATGTTTGATGTTAACCTTCCTGGGTTTCCGTATCTTGTCTGAGTGTTTGTTGGCGATATGGCGACTCAGCTTGTTGCTGGTTGTCATGAACTCACATAGTGGACAGTATTTCACCATCTAAAAACCGCGAACACGAAAGATTGAAAAACCGTAATTACGTGAATCGTCTTGAAAAACTTACCAGAGTGTCCTTGTTCATCGCCAAAGTCTCGGTGCAGGTCCGACGCCTTGGTCTGATGTCTTCGTCGTCATCGTCGGTTACGTCCTGCCAGTCAACGTCGTTGCCTCTAAGTGGAGACGACAAGCCAATTTGTTCGGACGGCACGGGTGACGACTGCAACCCCGAGGGACAGGCTACGGGCAACGACTGCAACCCTGAGGGACAGGCTACGGGTGGTGTCAATACGGGCTGCTGTGGTCTGATGTGTAAATTTTCTTCTGTACCGTCGTCTTCGGTAAATTTGTACGGGTCCGGGGATGGCGACGGTGTAAAAACAGCTTCAACTGTCAAACGATCGGGACCTGGAAATCAATATCAAAATTTACTTGCAGTCAACAATAAAAATTATATTTATAATAACTCACGGCCAGGGGAAGAGACGCTGACTAAAAGGGCGTCGTTGCCGTCAACAATCAGCGGTTCGAATACGGGAGACATGGAAGGGACGAAGCTTTCCGCAAAACTATTGTTCCTGCTCTCTTCAGATGCTGGAATTGAAACAGAATTGAATATTATCACAAAAACATCAAATTTGACAAACTTCAATTAATAGTTATACTCACGGTTGTACGGGTGCGAGCGATTAGGGTGCCTTTGTACTTCGATAATCCTATCCATCAACTTTAACTTCCTAGGGTTTCGCATCGAGTTGTCTACTGTAAATGAACGGGATTAATTTTACTAAAATCACAGACAAACAAAAACTAGAAATATCAATTGCACAACATTAACTTACTCTTAGAAGTGATCGCCTCGTCGATTTTGACCTTCACCGGCGGTTCACCTTCGTCACTCGACGACGACGACGGCTCGATCAAACGCAGCTTAGGTTCATCTTTGTCAATTTTTGACTCAATCACGGCCACCTTCGGTGATTCGTCGTCTGTGGATGAAGAAGAAGTAGACATGGATGCCGTAAGGGCCGAGTAGGCGACTGGACGAGAGTACAGGAATGGCTTTATTTCCACTACTGGAGCATTGGTTTGCGGGCATGGGAAGAACTTCAGTGGACAGCTCACCTTAAGGGGAAGTTGTTCACCAACGGTTGTTGGATTGTCTGAAATACAAATGATCGAACGTAAGGAATAGGTAAATTTAATGTATTAAGTGATATATTATTATAATTACCATGGGTGGTTGTAGAGCTCGGTGCTGAGAAGGCCGGCGGTACAGGGTAGTCTAATTTCGCAGCGTCCTGTTTGTGGAGAGCCAGAGCTTTCCGAAGCGTCATCTTAGCAACTTTGGTTTCTATCACCGCTCTTCCAATAGGCATGCCATCCAGCACTAGTCTCACGGCTCTCGAGAGTTCAAGGTTGTCAACTCCTTTCTTGTAGCTTCGTTTAGCTCTTTTAGGCACTATCTTTTCACGAATCAGGTGCTGACGAAATGTAGTTTCTGGAATACCATATCGACGTGCTGCTTCGTTCAGGGTGAAGATGCCCTCCTTCACGGCAAATGTCGCTTTGTCCATTCTACAAAAAAAAAGAACACAATTATAGGAACGACATAGAAAATAAAACACTTGAAAAAACGCTATAAAAAAATTTAAGAAACGCTATATGGTTGTAAAGGGGGTGCTTAACAAGATTAAAATAATTAAATGGTAGAATATTCATTATAAAAAGGTGAGCGTAAATGTTTAGTGCGCCATGGTAAGTAGCGCCCGGGAAAAGGTTTAATAATGGAAAAAATTATTTTAAAAAAACACCTACCGAGCGTATTCGAAAAAAACTTTACATAAAAATGAAAACTAATTAAAAGCGGTAAATGGATATGCAATCACGCTGAGTGAAGACTTCCGACCGAAACAAGCCAACTTTCGTCGTATAGATTTCATCCACGCGATCACAGATACCTCATTATTTATTTATTTAGTTACTAATGTTTTTTTTTTTTTTTAACTATTGGTAAACTCAACGAACAGTCTGACAAACGGTACAATGCCGGAATTACTCCAACTATTGCACCATGGAAAGCGACGAGTGAGACGGCCGAGGCAATGCCGGAATCCTCCAACTATTACACCATTGGTCGCCTCACAAACCGTTCACCGAGTTCGCCTTAAGCTGGGACTATATTTCTCTGTAGCCGCGTAAGTCTGCCCGGGAGGGGTCTAACTACGACGTCGGAAAAAAATTTGAAGATAACATGTCGACAATATAATGAGATATCCACTACATGCGAACGACATACTCGTTGGAGTCCTTCAGTCGGCAAATAAAATACTTACATTATAATATGACAGCAAACTATTAACTGATCGACAACAAAAGTACAGAAATGTGTACGGTGATGGGGTGTAACAGCGACGTTGAATGGCGGTGAGCAGTGTGGCAGCGTAATGGTGTTCTGTGAATGGCAGAAAAACAAATGTCAACGATCCGTGTGTGGCGCTCGTATTCATGCATTGGGCGGAATTCTTACCGACCAATCACAGAGCGCTCTACAAATGTACCTCTGTGGGCTTGGGGTTTGGACAGATTTTAATAATTGTGACATGGATTGAAAGCTTGAAAGCTGATCCATCCAGTGAACATGGTAGCGAACGGATTTGACGGATGAAACACCGTCAAAAAGTAAAGTGAAAAGTTTACGGCAAACGTATTCATCAACTTTTCTAAGCAGGAAATGAAAACATCGAAAAAATGTATACTTTCTAAAACACTTATTTTTCAAAAGCCTAAAGTAATACATAATTTTTTCCTCGAAAGTCGTGAAAAGGATCGAGCGTCCCAGAGCGTATGTCGGCGTGACACCGCGAAAACTCTCAAGCACTATAGTGCGACCAATCCACGGGTGGGGAAAATCTTCACGAATCCGAATATGTATACTAAGTTATAACTAAGCATCAATCAGACATGACAGGATACGGCGCTAAATTGACCGTGCGGTGGTTGTCACCTGCCCCCTAAACGAATTAGATTAGACGTTTTAAAACCACACCGTTATTACGAAGGATCCTATAGAATGAACTCGGTTGGACTCGCCATGCGAATCAATTTTCGTCCATTCCGGAGCCAGGATTTGAAGCCAGGGAATATATATATACCGGTGAATCGCATCGAAACCTCAACAGTATTCCATCAGCCATCAAACGACGAATACGTGTCTGCCTGCAATAGTAGCCATACAAGCCATCAAGCCTGCATTATCATGAAAAATGTTTTGCTCCCTGTTGAACATGGTGTTTATACACTTAAAGAAGCCGGTCACCACTACTGCTTTTCTGAGACTACGCTTCGCCAAGCAGTTGCAAGAAGAAATGGGAGTAAAACAATGCGAGTACGAACCAGCGAGAGAGATTTAGCTGCGAACAAACTTAGAAGAATAATGGACGCAAACAAAGAAAAGTTTTCCCTCCTGTTATCAGTCATACAAGATACAAACCATTCATACTCCGGCAACAAATGGCTTTGAATTATTAATCAATGGTTTCACCATCCAACATAAAACGGTCCTTTTCAGGACCACTAACAACTGAAAACGTTACAAAGCATACACAATACACCATAATAAACAGTAGTTAATAAAACGAAAATAAAACACTTGAAAAATTGCTATAAAAAAATTTAAAAAACGCTTTATGGGTGTAACAGGGGTGCTTAACAAGAATAAAATGCTTAAAAAGTGAAAAAGGACGCTAGACGGGTGAGCGGATGGCTGAAAAGCACGAGGGGTGGACTAGCGTGCTGTTTTACGACAGCTTAAAAAGACGAAAATAGAACACTTGAAAAAACGCTAGATGGATGTAAAGGGGATGCTAACGCTTAAAAAAGCGAATAAGAATGCTGGTAGAGAGATAGAGAGAGCGTAGGGGTGGAACAGCGCGCTGTATTACGGCGGCTTTGGAAAAATGAATTGATAATAGATAAGAAGTGATAAAAGATATCGAAATTGATAAGATATCAGGTGTGATAAGAGATAAGGATTATTATGACCCCATTGAGTGCTAATGAATAATAAAAACCTTAAAAAAGTGAATAAAATCGCCAGGTGGGAGAGCGTATTGGTGGAACGGGCACGGGTGGACAGGCTTACTGTATTACGGCGGCATTAAAAAAACAAATAGATAGAGATACCAAATTAAGATCAAATGAAATGTGATTGTGAGATAAGTACAATTGACAGGGACACCTGATAGAAGAAGCACGTGAAAAAAATTAAAACAATTAAGTGTATAGCGCAAGCTCCAACTGTGAGACATTCATCACTGTCTCTATATTACATAATTTCCCTTGCACTGATGTGGCAAATATTTATTTATTTAATTATGACACATGAAAATACATAAATATTATGTTGCCGTCCAGGAATCGAGCGACAGCCTTCTTTGTGTGACGCCATAAATATATTGTAGTCTAATTATTTGCCACATCATTGCAAATAAAATTATGTAAAGTTGGGACAGTGAAGAATATTACTGCGTGAACATTTTCCAATTGTGCATCGGCACAAGTTTCAAGTGGAGTTGCATATTAGTCGGTCTCGAGACCAGGAAAAAACATATTACATTTTAACTACGGGGACATGAGTGGCTCCCATGGTAAGGGGTGAGCGTGAACGTCAAGCGCACGGGGACATATGCTTGCTGTGGTGTACATAGTAGCCAAAAAATGGACAACATAAAAAGCTTAAAAAAACTGTGAACAAACGCTAAAAAAAATCAATGCTGCACATTCCATATAAAACAGTTAAAAGGGAATAAGAACGCTATGTGGGAGAGTGTATTGGTGGAACGCGCGCGGAGAGCACTAGCGCGCTGTTTTACGGTACCATTACAAAAAAACGAAAAAAAAACACTTGAAAAAACGCTATAAAAAAAATTTAAAAAACGCTACATGGTTGTAAAGGGGGTGCTTAACAAGAATAAAATGTTTAAAAAATCGAAAAAGAACGATAGGCGGGAGATTGTAAGGGTGGAACGCGCGCGGGGTGGACTAGCGCGCTGTTTTACGACAGCTTAAAAAGACGAAAATAAAACACTTGAAAAATAGCTATAAAGAAATTTAAAAAATGCTATTTGGCTTTAAAGGGGGAGCTAATGAATAATAAACCACTTAAAGTAATGAATAATATCGGTAGGTGGGAGAGCCTATTTCTGGAACGCGCTGCTGGCGGATCAGCGCGCGAAAAAAGACTGCATTTAAAAAACCGAAAATAAAACACTTGAAAAAACGCTAAAAAAATAATTTAAAAACGTATTCCTACTAAAAAAGGGTAGGGCTACAAGAAAATGACGATGAAATGGTCGAATATTTATTAAAAAAGAGTGAGCGTAATCGTTTAGTGTGGGGAGGGCGTATGTCGCTGGCCGGGTAAGTATGCCCCGTAATACACGTAATTGTTAAAAAACTAACTAAAAAACGACGAAAAAACGCTGATCGAAAATTTTTCGAATATTTATTAAAACAGGGTGAGCGTAATCGTTTAGTGCGCGTAATAATTAACTAACTAAGAAATCGTTGAAAAAACGCTTATGGCTTATGGTTGTAAAAGGGGTGCTTATAAAGTTTTATCTGTTTTGCCAAAAAATGTAAAAATTTAATACAAGGCTCCTGATATATTGTTACGGTATCCGGACAATTTCCCCCCGGACATTTTCCCCCCGACTGTTTTTGGCGTAGTAGGACATTTTCCCCCCGAAAAATGTTCCGATGCGGACATTTCCCCCCCATTTTTTCATAAATATAATAAAAACGTAAAGTAATTGTACATAGGTAAGTAAAATAGGTTAAAAATTTCATTTTTTTTTCATAAATATAATAAGACATAAAAAAATTGTATATAAGTAAAATAGGTTAAAAATTTCGACATAAAAATGATATATTTTGTAAAAAACATTTAATTTCTGATTCTTTTTTTGTATCTAAGCACATATTTTGTAATCGTCTTTCATGTTTATTTTTTTTTTGTTAAAAAAACCTTACCTGTTATAATAGTTTATTAATTGCCATTGAATTTGACTTTTGTAGTGCTTCAATGAACATCCAAATATTTGGATGCTGAGTTCTAACCAAAGTTTTAAATTTGTTATTGAAACCTTCACTTATATTATTTGTTCTACCTGTTTTTCTTTGTAGCATTATGTGCATTCCATAAATAAGGAGGAAATATTGGCGAAGATCGCAATAATGTCAAACATGATTTCAATGTTACTAGCGAATAATACAGTATGCTAGTACAATTATTTTTTATTTAGACAATCTTTTAAATATAATATTACTATTGTTTTATTGTTTTAAGTAGTTGAATTGATCAAAAATATATATCTACTATAATAGGTAATTTTAGTATAATTGATAAAATTTATAAAAAAAATTATATTTTACTGAAAAAAATAATTTCTTATTAAATAATAAATAATAAACTTAAAAAAAAAATGGGGGGAAAATGTCCGCATCGAATATATATTGGGGGGGAAATGTCCTACTACGCCAAAAACAGTCGGGGGGGAAATGTCCGGGGGGAAATTGTCCGCCATTCATTGTTACAATATCAGTTGAAAAATATTAATAGACATAGTTACGTTTTATAATTAAGTTTCTATACATTTTTATGCTAAGTACTATAGTTTTTTAATAAATTTGAAAAACAATTAAACTACCCTCTTTTGCCATTTTTCAACCCTAAATCCGCACCAGAAGGGGTCGAGTAATGTATTCCAAATTTTACCCAAATCAATTTCTAATGTGACTTATTAAATCTAGCTGGTACGGACCAAGTAAAATTAAGCTTAAAAAATAAGGACCACCCTACTATACATGTTCAGATTCGTGAAGATTTTCCCCACCTGTGGATAGGTCGCACAATAGTGCTTGAGAGTTTTCGCGGTGTCACGCCGACATACGCTCTGTGACGATCGCTCCTTTTCACGACTTTCGAGGAAAAAATTATGTATTACTTTAGGCTTTTGAAAAATAAATGTTTTAGTAAGTATACATTTTTTCCATTTTTTCATTTCCTGCTTAGAAAAGTTGATGAATACGTTTGCCGTAAACGACGGATGACGGCGGACGGAGGTCGGACCCCTCGCGCTTATGCTCTATCTTAAGTTTTCGTCTGTTGCTCATTGGAAATTCATCTGATTTTCATGTTCAATACATCCACAGATCAGGTGAAAATACGCGCATTCGATTATCCAATTTAATCTAAAATATTCTTTTTTTTAAAATCGTGACTCCCTAAAAGCTCATCAAGCTCAACTTTTTTTTTTGGATTTTATGAAATTTTCTGACGGTCCTAAAGTGAAATAAGCCAACTAAGAAAAAAAGTTCAGTGAAATTTTTTGTTTTATCCATTAACTAATGAGATAATTGCCTGGGAACTTCCCGTTTCAAACGGAGCAAAGCGATTGGTCCAACTTTTCACTTTACTTTTTGACGGTGTTTCATCCGTCAAATCCGTTCGCTTTCATGTTCACTGAATGGATCAGCTTTCAAGCTTTCAATCCATGTCACAATTATTAAAATCTGTCCAAACCCCAAGCCCACGGAGGTGCATTTGTAGAGCGCTCTGTGATTGGTCGGTAAGAATTCCGCCCAATGCATAAATACGAGCGCCACACACGGATCGTTGACATTTGTTTTTCTGCCATTCACGGAACACCATTACGCTGCCACACTGCTCACTGTCATTCACGGAACACCATTACGCTGCCACACAGCTCACTGCTATTCACGGAACACCATTACGCTGCCACACTGCTCACTGCCATTCACAGAACACCATTACGCTGCCACACTGCTCACCGCCATTCAACGTCGCTGTTACACCCCATCACCGTACACATTTCTGTACTTTTGTTGTCGATCAGTTAATAGTTTGCTGTCATATTATAATGTAAGTATTTTATTTGCCGACTGAAGGACTCCAACGAGTATGTCGTTCGCATGTAGCGGATATCTCATTATATTGTCGACATTTTTTCTCCGTATTTCTTTCCGACGTTGTTGTAAGACCAACCCGGGCAGACTTACGCGGCTAGGAGAGAAGTTGTCCCTACCCTGTCCTTTTATTTTGAATAAATTTAAAAAAAGTAATTCAATTTCATAGTTATTTACCGACAATAAATAATGAGGTATCTGTGATCGCGTGGATGAAATCTATACAACGAAAGTTATCTTATTTCGGTCGGAAGTCTTCACTCAGCGTGATTGCAAATCCATTTACTGCATTTAATTAGTTTTAATTTTTTTTAAGTTTTTTTCCAATACGATTAGTTAGAAATATTTATTATTTTATAGCTCTATTCACAGGTTTTTTTTAACCGTTTTATTGCGCTCGTTTTTGGCGCGTATGTACACCCCACCCCGCGCACTTGACGTTCACGCTCACCCCTTAAGCGTTTGTCTTTATTGGGGCCACTCATGTCCCCGTAGTTAAAATGTAATATGTTTTTCCCTGGTCTCGAGGCCGACTAATATGTAAACTTGAACAAGCCGATGCACAATTATAAATGTTCACGTAGTTACACAGCCGGTTATCAATGTCCCTACTTTACATAGTATTCTTTGCAATGATGTGGCAAATAATTAAACAGCAATATCTTTACGCAAAGAACACTGACGCTCGATCCCTGGACGAAAACATAATATTTATGTATTTTCATGTGTCATAATTAAATAAATAAATATTTGCCACATCATTGCAAAGGAAATTATGTAATATAGGGACACTGATGAATTTCTCGCACTTGGCACTTACGCTCTACCCTAAGGTGTTTACATTTTTTTCACGTTTTCCTCATATCAGGTGTCCCTGTCTATTGTACTTAACTCTGTATAACATTTCATTTGATCTTACCATGTTATCTTTTATCATTTATCTTATTTCTAATTATTTTTTCAGGTGAATATGAATCAACGTGGATTAGTAATGGAGGAAAATGCCAGAATCCTTTGCGTCATGGATGATATGTGCCTTACGAACGACGTGGATCCAAAATAAGGATTCAAAACGCATAAATCGGGATTAGGTCCAGAAGCCATTGTATCGCCAAAGTACAAGAAGACATTTTTATCGCTGAAGGAAGCATACTCTAAGGCAATGGGGAAGGACTCAAGAATTTCAATAGAAATATGCAACAGATATCCTAATGACGACGGGTGTGGCGTCAAAATCACTGTCCGGAAGGTTATTTGGAAGAACCAAATAATCAATGAACTCTACGGTAGAATGGCTCCCGTAAATGAAGATTTTTTCGGTAAACATAATGTAAAGGATTTTTCAGTTGCCATAAGTAATACAAAAAATGATATTAAATTATTGCTTGGCCCGGTCTCGTTTGTAAATCATGACTGTGAGTCGAACACTGACTTCTTTCCCTTAGGACCCAAATCAACAACCATTAGAGCTAACCGAAAAATAAGCATCGGAGAAGAAATTACAACTTATTACGGCTCTTTATATTTTGGTTATAATAACAGCGAATGTATGTGTATTTCGTGTGAAAAGAAAAAGGATGGTCATTTCAAACAGCAAAGTCCCGTACAAAGTGATACAGATTCGAACGTGGAAGAACGTGATAATTTACTGACATGTGCTATTTGTGGCTCATATTTTTTGTACAAGAGTTGGCTGAAAAGACATATTACATCTCATATGGACCCATTGGTGAGTTGTGATCGTTGCAATAAAGTTTTCAAAAGAGGTGACTCCTTAAAAAGACACATAAAATCGATGCACGAAACAGTATCTTACACCTGTAAAACCTGTTCAAAGTCTTTTAACACAACTTCCAATTTGAAACGGCATGAAAATACCCAACATGGTAGCAAGACTAAAATGACTTGTGAAAAATGCGGGAAAACATTTACAAATAAGCAGAATTTATCTTATCACGATAATATAAAACATACAGGGGTCAAACCATATAAATGTGACACGTGCAATGAAGAGTTTGGATCACCATGCTACCTGAAAAGACATGTGAATAAGGAGCATTGATAATGGAAGACTGTGGATAAGGCCTCGGGGGACACCTCATAAAAAAAAAAAAAATGTAGATGTGGGAACGTCAGTGGATTAGGCCTACAGGGGAACCACTATAAAAAAAACGCACTGTAGCTGATACCACTTGGGTAGTGTGGAAACTCGGCTGGTTTGTTAATCACGATGGGACGTCACCGTGGGACATTCATACCGGTAGGCATCAAATTTTATTTTCCACTTATACCATAAAGCAGGGCGATTCCAGCAGTTCAAGGGGATGTTTTCACATCCGATGTATGATAGCAAAAGAAGCCCCGGGCATCGTCCGACTCGGCGCCCGTCGTCGGTTGCAGGCAGTCCTTCCGGGGACGTGTTCCTACTACGACGGTCGCCGTCCGGGTGGGTACGGTAGTTCGACCCGGGGTCCGTCCCCGTGTGTCGACCCGAAGCTCGGTGCGTGTCTGCGGTCTAGGCCGCGGCTCCGCCGTCAAATTATTTTTTCACTCTTCGCCCCGGTAATGTGAAAACGTCCGCTTGAACTGAAGAATTCGCCGTGTACAATTTTTTTTTGCTGTACCACTACGCGTGCATATGATCGTCGCATATTGTGAAACTCGAGATTATCTAATTTCGGAGGTAATGGTGTGGTCGTTACCCAGCCCACTGTACTACTGAGGTTGCGGCGTTGCAACGGACGAAATCGAAGCGTGATGCTGGTGCTGATGAACTGCATTTTGTCGATACATCATTTAACCAATTACCTTTGGTTAGGTTACCGCTTCGACCACCTTGCCCCTCCCCCCGTGAGAATTCTCCCGCGGGGAATTTTTTTTCAAGTCCGTGTCGCCGTACCACTATGCACGGAAAGGCGTCCGTCGCGCGGACCGTCGGTCAGTGGACCGCCCCGGTGATTGTTTTCGGAAGTCCGTCATTCGACCTGGCCGGCGATCTGCGCGGCGGACGCCTTTTTTTTCCCAAGTCCGGGTCACCGTACCACTACGCGGCGACATTGGTTTATTCTTTGGGACACCATGCGGGGCCGACGAGCCCGACGACCTGACTGCCGTCCCTCGGGCGCGGTCCGTCATTAATTTTTTTTTGAAAGTCCGTTTCGCCATACCAATAAGTATGGTATATAATTTTTTATACGTTGAAAAATTGTGCGTAGTGGTACGGTTTAATCCGGGGAGACGACATGCCGTCGAGCGAGAATTTCCGGGTAGACGTCGGCGGCGACCGCGTAAGAAAAATTGTGCATTGTGTAACCCGAAGAGACTACGGCTTTGCGAAATTTTAAAATATTTTCATTCATTTTTTATTTCTAAATATTTTTTTTTCACCTACACGGTAGATACGGCCTAGGGGGTGGACTAGCATGCTCAAAAAATCGGCAAAAAAGTCCGGCCGGGAGGTTAGGTTAGGTTAGGTTACGTTGGGTAAAGCGCCTAAATATCACCTCTACATTTTCGACGCTCTTTCATATGACGTAAACATAGTTGATGTGAATTTTAAAGTGTCATGAATAAAGAAATAATTATTTGCCACATCATTGCAAAATAATTTATAAAAGATACTGACAGTGACTATATTATAGTTACGGTACTATAATTTTACTCACCCAAATAGCGTTCTTATTACCTTTTTTAAGTTAATTATTCATTATCACCCCCTTTCCGACCATATAGCGTTTTTTTAAATTTTTTTATTGCGTTTTTTCAAGTGTTTTATTTTCGTTTTTTTTTTTAAGCCGCTGTAATACAGCGCGCTGTTCCACCCCTCGGCCATTCCGCTAATATGCTCCCCCACAAGACGGCGTTTACGATTGTTTTGTCAAGTTCATTCACGAGTTCAATTTTCTGAACGCCCCGACCACTAGATCAAAAGTTAGACATCGCAATACTGCAGTCCCATCGGATAGGACATGACTGGAGAAGTAATAGATTTAACTGGACAAATTGGTTTGATCCTCTCGCGGTGTTCGGGCTTGAATTTCCCTTGTCAAGTACTTTCAGAATACGTGATAAAAAAATTAAAAAAAAAAAAAATCGTGATTTACCGCTACGCGGGGACTTGTAATATTTTCTGCCGTGATTGACAGTCCCATCCGATAGGACTATTTAGTGGTGAACGGAGGAATTGACGGGTGATATCGTAAACGAAAGTACGGGAGTAGTGTACAGTAGGCATCCTGAGTCCTCTCGTATAAGAGTTGCACACACTCCAACTATCTGTACCGTCAGTAACTTCTTTAATAATGATCACAGCGCTTCCCTACAGGAAGGCGTTAATGTTTCTTTTGCCAAGATCTATCAGGTATTAAAATATTGAAACGATCTGTTAAATATCTTAAAAGTTAGATATCGCAATCACGCTGTCCCATTGAATGGGACACAAGTGGAGAAGTGATAGATTGAACGGGATGGATTGGTTCAATCGCCTCTGTGTCTTGGGGCTTGAGTTTCTCTCGTCAAACTGTATCGGAATACTCGTTAAAATTAATAAAATTGAAAAAAAAAAATTCGTGATTTCGCATTGCCAGGAGCATTCACGACCGTCGAACGCGGGCAGTAGTGAAAACGTCAAGCCCGAAGACGGGGACACGATAGGTGTGATATTTCGCTTCAAGCTCGACATTCTCTTGAAACAGTCCCACCCGATGTGACTGTAAATCCCGTAATTCTCTCCGAATATATCGACGGTGAAATGTCAAGACTGGTTTTCTCTGGATTAGTCCCATTCAATAGGACACTCAATCCGGAATTCTCTCGGAAAATAATTCAGGGTCCGAGTCCCATTCAATAGGACCGTCAATCTGAAATTCTTTCGATAAAATATTACAAGTCCCCGCGTAGCAGTACACCAGCCTTCAATCCGTAATTCTCTCGAGTAGATGCGTAGCGGTATTGTCCGAGGAGAGAATTCTCTCGTCCGAGATTTTTCTCTGTAATGGAGAAAAATTGGCTTGACTTGACACAGTCCCACAGAATCGGACTATAGTCCCATTCCCAGAGGACCTACGTCACAGGCCTTCACTTAAGTACGTGGAAACACAATCCGGTAAAAGATTTTTCTCTTCGGGTTTGGTCTTTAATTCTCTTCTCTGACCCACCCGGAGAATTCCCAACGATTAAAATAATTATTAAAAAAAAAAAGCTTGGAGCAGTCCCACGTCGTGGGACTGACAGTCCTATGCCATCGGACTAGAGTCCCACAGTGCGGGACCGGTTCAACCTTGTTTTCTTGAAACACCGGGCCGTTACGATGTAGTTTTATTTGTCGCTCGCATAATAAATCATAAAAGTGAGTGGCACCAATTAAAATATCTATTTTTTGCGGAACGCGGAATAACGGATCGGCTAGCTTGATATTTTCCGGCATACCACATGGATCGGTAATATTTTTTGCCGGTAAGTCGCCTGTAATTTTTGGAACCAATAGCATTTTTAACGAAAAATTGTAATTATTGAAACGGGACTCGAAACGCGCGTGTACGTATAAGTGCGCGTGTTGAGTAACAGCACCTATACCGTTTATTTGATGATTCGTTTTAGTTTTTTAATTTCAAGGTTTGAACAATTTCTTCAGTTATAAAATTACTTTGTGATCCCGAGTCCAATAGGGATCGACATAAGACTGATATTGTGCACTTCCCTATTGCTCGCACGACGGCCGTTGATAATAGTACGTTCTCGTGATCGACGCTGGACGCATGCGCACTTGTCGATGTATTTGCTGCTTGTTTATTTGAAGCCTCATCCGAATTCTTTGCATTGTATTTTTGTGGCATAATTAAATGCAGTAACGTATTATGTGCTTTATGATATTTATAACAATTATTTTGGGAAAGACGGTGTTTAACTTCGTGCTTGCGCAAACATACCTTGCAGAGTACATTAACAATTTTTATACGCTCGGCTACTGTTAACGATAAAAATGAAGGGCATTTGTAGATTGTATGTGACAAATCACATGCATAACATTTTATCTCCGATGTTGATACTAACGATGTAGTAATGTTATTGGTTTTGCCAAACTTATTTTTTCGATTTTCATTTTTGTTTTCATAGCCCAAATCAACGATTTTAGAAATGTTCTTTGACGACTCAATTGCTTCCAAAACTTGTGAACGCGCATCTCAAAATAATACTAAATCGTCCACTTTAAAAATGTCATTTTTTGGCGACTTCATCTCCCATTCACTTTAAGAGATATCGCGTCCAACTTAGTGCAAATAATATGCGTCAACAGTGGGCCCCAGCTACTTGGCTGTTGTTTCAACGCCTCTAGCGCGGACATATGACCCCGTAATGCGTCAGAAAATTGTCTTAAACTACTTGACGAATTTTCTTTTACGTCACTTAACTCACATATACCTTTAACGTGTGATTGAATTAATAATTTTTTGTTTCTATATCTCGATATTAACGTTTTCCAAGCGTACTCGTAGTTGTTTGCCGTTGTTTCAAGATTTTTAATGCAACTCGCAGGTTCGTCACTTAAAGATGCACGCAAATGAAAAAATTGTTGTATCGGCGTTATTTTATCATTTGTATGAACAAACGCCATGAACATATCGTAAAACGGTGTCCAGTCCGCGTACATTCCGTTAAAAACTGGTATGTTTAGCGGGGACAGTTTAATTGTCGATGACTCGCGGGGTTCATTCGTGTTTATTTCCGGTCTATTGGTGTTCGTCATTTGCTCAGCTTGTGCGATAATTTCAAAATACAAATTTTCGAAGTCTTCTCTGTATTCTGAATGATTTGTGTGATTTGCATGATCTAAAACCTCAATCTCCGACGATACACTTTCAAAATTATACTATGCCTCTTCCACTTTTTTACGCCGTGGTACAACTTGAGTTATGTTACATTCGGCCGATCTAATATAAGTTTGAAGTCGCGTCAAGACGGCCTTGATTTGGCCGCGTCGCGCCGTCAATACAGTAATATGCCCCATATTATGATACCGTCGTACAAAATATATAATATTAGGTATAGTGATATTAAGTACGTTAACGACCGCGACGGCGATGTGTTTTGTGCCGTTTGTCTCGACGGACCTAATCAGCAAATACCAGATAAGCTCAGATAAGCGCGAGTGGATTTCGATTAATATGCTATATATTGTACTGTGACCTACGCTAGCTTGCCTAATTTTCAGGAATTTCACTCTTTATTTTTAGGGAAAGAAATATTAAATAACTGGAGGAAATAAGCTAAACTCTTACCCGACTTTTTTGGCTCCAGATCTGCAAATTGAACTTCTTCTCGAGAGACAGTCTATGGTGTACTGGTTGGCTGACCTTTTGAAAATAATCTTTTTTATTTTTAAAGCCTCGTACTTGAGTTGAGACACGAACTAACGATTTTTACTAATTAACGATTAACGATTTACTAGTTAACGAATTACTAACGGATAACGATTACGAATACGGACGATAGATCAACGATGATCATGAAACGCACGATTACACTGAGCGTAATATTAATTTATTTAGCTGTTAAAGGCACGCACTACGTTTTACTTACTTTTAAACCACGTGGACGAACGATAATTTTATGAATCCGGTTCGAAGGACCAAATGTTGGGACGTGGTAAGCAAGTATAGAACATTTGATTATAGTAAGAACGGTATTTTATTTATTGTGGACTGTATATTAAATCTTTATTTAACACTAGCCTAAGCGAAGACGCGTTGCGCACCAGTAATGTGCTTTCCGTGGCATGGTTCGAAACTGACTGGTCGATATATTAAAAGCGTATCGTTAACGATCGATCGCCGCGACATCTTATCTGTTCATACCGATACCAACACTATCGCACCTCGGAAACCGCACGCTGACACGCAACATGCCGCCCGCCTTGAAACATTGATTTCAAATGATAGACAAAAATAATTAATAAATGTTACAATTACAAAAAAAAAAAAACAAATAAATAAATAAATTGCGTAATAATCATTAATAATAATACAATTATATGCTGACTCTAACAAACAAAAAAAAATGAACTAAAGTAGACAAACAAATTTATATAATGATTTACTCAGAGCCGTTTTCTTTAAACGGCAATGGACACAATTGTCGAACTGCCCGTCGTAGTTTGGACTTCAGCGACGCGCACCTCACCATCATCACCAGCAATAACCTTTGTAACTCGCGCTAAACGCCACCTTAATGGAGGGAGGTTATCTTCTCGCATTAATACCACGGTACCCACTTCCAGTTTACATTTAGAGACTTGCACATTAGCGTATTTTGTTATGACGTTTTAATAATAATCATTTAATTACAACCACGTCAACCGATACGTTGCTACCAATCATGCAAAAATATATACACCACGATACATTTATAAGCAGTGATATGTGGCGAGCTTATGGGCAATGTAGCAATGCATGTAGTTAAGCAAGGCTGAGAAAGTTAAGTTATTTTAAAATAATAAAGTTAACTTAACTTCGGGTAAAGTTAAATTTTGGTAATTTGCAAAAACAAAAAAATCTTGACACAATATGGTTTATTAGATAGTTTTTATTTACTTTATTTACATTGCTGTACCAAGTCATAATTATTATACCAAACTTAAATCTAAGTCAATTGTCACTATTCCTATAATTGGTACAGTTTTTGGACAGTAATGCCCACAATTCTAGTTTAATCAACTATAAATTTAACAAATAAACTTATTATTATAAAAAGTGTAGCAAACCGACGTTTTTGCACAAAAACGGCGTTCCAAAGGTTAGGTGGCCTGAACAACATCATGCCACCAAAATAGGCCACAGAGGCTGCCGCCTCATTGGTTAATACTGATCGACTACGCATCAGGCCATGCCTATGACGTCAATCATCCTTTCCTAAATCCCGGGCATGTCTCATATAAATAGGGGCCCTGTTTCACAGACTTTACAGACATAGAAGTAATTACCAGTGCTTTACAATACTTGTGTGGGTCGCGGACTAGAAACAGCCGCATCGCCGTCCACATCAAGTATAATTTAAATTACAACTATTCTCCGGTAGAATTAATAAGAAATGGAAAATATTTTAAATAAGTATGATAATTATATAATGAATAGTCAATATGAAAGTTATATACCTCAAATTACAACAGAATTAAATAAACCTAACCGAAATACAATAGTTATAGTAGATGGTAAAGATAAATTTCTGAATATTAAAAATTCAAAACTTTATTTATTATTTGAATATGTACAAGAAGATGGTTCTAAATATCCAGCAAAATCTAATGTTATGGTATCTGATAATGGTGGAGCATTTTTGTTTCAAAAAATTACAATTAAATTAAATAGTAAAATTATAGATAAAAGTGAGAATACCGGAAGAGTAAGTACAGTAAAAGGTTATATGAGTTATGCTGTTGATGGAAATGGTCCTACACAAAATTCAGGATTTGAATCTACATCTGAAGGGGGAGGAAGTGTCGAGCTCATCATTCCTTTATCACACTTTGGTTTAGGATCAATGAAAGATATAAAAAGTCCTCTTTACAATGCTAGATTTAAAATAATTTTTACTAGAAACACTGATGATGATGCTTTGATTCTAGAAACAAACACTGAAGCTACAGCAGATACAAAAAATATTAAAGCAAAACGTGGTAAAATTAATATTTTAGAATTAAAAGTTCAAATGCAAAATATAGAATATGATGAAATAAGAAAAATTCAAATAGTCGATGAATTAATTAAGAATCCATGTATTTTAGCTTTTAAAAAATGGCAATGTATTGAAGTAAGAAATCTTACTGGAAAAAAGATAAGATACGATTTAACAAATAATCATCGAAATAATAAACATGCATTGTTTGGTGTTGTTTATTTTCAAAAAAACAGATTAGACCATCAAGAAAGTAATGTTTGTTTTTTGATCATTGTGATGTTGTAAATTATTATTTTGAAGTAAATGGAAAAATGAAATCCTCTATGATATCCGCCTGGTGTGCGTGATAGACCTAGTCAAAACAACGTGTTTATTTTTAGCCGTCTTAGGCGTATATTCGCTGAAATGCCGTCAAGTCGTCATTCCGATTTTAGTTTTCTAATCGTGAAGTAGTGTTTTGTACTCTTGTAATTAATAATAATACGTTTACTATCCTACTATGGATATAAACACGTTGCTTCAACAAAATCGATTCTCAGTTTTTTCATTAGGAGCCTTTTTAGGACCTGATGTAACTGAGGAGCAACGCATTGTATCAGGAAAACAAGGGGAAATCATATTTTCATATTTTAGCATTATTCCAAATGAATTTGATGTACCTGAATGTAGATGTGGAAGACCGATGTATAGAGTCATTGATTCAAGTAGGAAATTAGGCTATAGGTTCAAATGCGCGGATGGCCATAGAATGAATCCAACTAAAAATACTTTTTTTGAATATGTTCATGTTGCTGGAGAATTAGGGAGAATTAGGGTGCAATAAAATCGTACAGATGATTTATTTGTGGCTAACTAATTCCGATACAGCAACAATCCAACGAGAGGTAAATTAATTTTGATTTTGTTTAATATAATATAATATAATATATATTTAATATAATCACCATTTTACCACCCAAACGTCCGACGTCAAGAACTATAATAATAATTATTATTGTATAATTGCATTATTATTAATTAGATGATATTATTGTGAATTAACTAATTTCTTAACTTATTTTTGCAGAATTTGAATAATAAATAAATATGTTTTTGAATAATAGGTGAATATATCTACAGAAACAGCGGTTGCTTATACTGAATATTTTAGGGATGTAGCCACTAAAATAATGAACCATGACTACCTAATGATCGGCAATGAACACGATATCGTGGAAGTAGACGAGACTCATTTGTTCAGAGCTAAATACAACGTTGGGCGTGTTATGGCATGGCATGCTGTGTGGTTATTTGGTAATTGAAAATAAAGATAATAAATCATAAATTAATAATTTGTGAGATAATAAATAAAGAAATTTGCAATAATATAATGATTAAGGTGGTATAAGTCGTACTACCAAACAAGTATTTGGTACGTATAGTCCCGGACAGATCAACCGACACTCTCCTTCCGCTGATGCAAAAATACATTCACCATGATGCCTTTATATGTAGTGACATGTGGAGGGCATATGGTCAATGTGGCAATGTATTTAGGTAAATATTATAAAGTAATATATAAGTATTATAGTATTATAAAAATGATAATAGAAAAATAAAATAAATTTATTAAAATAATAACCAAATAAAATTAAAAAAAAATATATGCAAGATGAAACTTACTTTACAATTTTTTTTAAAATGATTGATATTTTTAATTAATTTTAGTGGTCATGGAGTGGTAAACCACTCGATAAACTTTGTCGAGCCTCCAAAAAATGAGCCACCAATTTGGGTAGGGACTGGCAGTTCCCAATCCGCTACCACACGCAGCATATAGAAAGATCGTGGAGGGAATTAAAACGTATCTTAACAAGATGCAATTGCAAGCGGGTAGCAGATTCGTACATTGGCGAATGGATGTATCGGACCAATATTCTAAATCACCTTCCTACAACCAGCGACCGTTTCAAAAGGTTCATGGACGACGTTGCAAGGGCATATCCGGGCATTGGATAGGAACATATACTACATTTTTTCCTGACATTCTAAAAACAGAAACTGGTGAAAGAGTAATGAACTCTAAATTAATATTATTATTAATATTATTATGATTTTTGAATCTTATAAATTTGAAGAATGTCCTAAAAAACTACAAGTCATCAAAAAAAGAGGGAGATTTGTACAAAAACCAACATTGCCAAACAAATGCTATGAAAGAAAATTACCCATTTCATCTGCCAAATTCAAAGATTTGTCAGATTTATGCAATAATGGTATTATCCCAGAAAAGTAAGATAATTTTTAATTCTATTTTATACTGATTTAACAAATGTATAATAATATTATAATATTTCTTTTGATTAACAGATTTCATGCAGAGTACTATGATATGAATTCTAGTGAGACAATTAGAGACTGTCTTGGCGAGTCTGATATTGAAGATTCTGATTTTTCTAATGTTTCTGATGCCTATTAGTAATTATTATAAATATTTTGTTTCTAGATCATTGTTATTGGTTTAATGTTTTTATTGTTATTTAAAGGATATTTTTTTACTTATTAACTATTCAAGAAGACTGAATATTAACTAGGTACATACTAAGATGCGATATTAAAATATTATTATTATTAAGTTTTTATATTAATAGTATTATACTTACAATTGATTTATTTTATTTTATTATAAACGCAGAGGAGTTTCCACTTTTTACCTAAAGATTATTATGTTATAATTTTTATTGATACAATATTGCTATTTTTACTTATTAACTAGTCAATAAGACTGAATATTAACTTCATAATATTATCATGCAATATTGAAATATTATTATTATTATTAAGTTCTTATTTACAGGTGATTTTATTTTATTTTATTTTATTATAAATGCAGGGATGTTTCCACATTTTAATTAAAGACTATATTATTTATTTTATTTAAAAGATAATTTTATAATAATTTACCACCTAGTCAAGTACACTGAAATAACAACTAACTATGCAGGACAAAATAATTATGTTTTCATGTAATAAAAATATTGTTACGGTTTTTATTTTTATTAAGAAAAGGTATTTCTACTTTTTGAATTAATTATTATCTTGATACAACAATTATTTGTTTAGTATTACTCGAAAATATTGTTACATGACGTAATAATTTTGTTATGAACTATTAATTTAAAAAAACAATTGAAATTTAATAATTTGGCGTAAGCGCCTTTTTTTTTTTTTTTTTTTTTTTTTAAATAGGCCGTAAGTGACAAAACTTAAGTTAAAATTTAAAATAAAATTATTTTAAGAATTATTATTTTTCAGGAATAAATGTTTGGTATAGTTACAACAAAAAAATGATTGTTCATAAATGTAGAACAACGCAATGTCCCTTAAATGGTTTTTGGGCTCTCCTGAACAATTTGGTGTATGGTGCTTACACCAATTAGCCTGCAAACAGTCGATATGGTTCAGGTTGAACTGAGCAATCAAACATGTCTTGAGACATAGACATTTCACTTGGAATTGGAATTTGACTTGTACTGGTATTACTCATATTATTGCTATTAGTATTGTTATTGTATTGTTATTGTATTGAGTATTGTTCATAATACGTAGACGGGCAGTAGTTAACATATTTTGTATGTCAACTTGTATCTTGAGTGATTCTTGTAAAGGTAGTTTTTGTAATTGAGCAGCAATTTGTTGTCCCAATATACTAAATTCATTTACTTCTGATTTTTGGGTGCAAACAAATTTCAATGCTTCGACTGGATTATCGAGACTGTTATCAATTTTCCTTATTTTTTTTGGTTTGCAAGGTAATGTTTTTAGAATTTTCTCCAGTAGGGTTCTCATAATTTTCATTAGGCTGTGTTGTGACACATGATGATAATTCTGCACAACTAACATTGTTATTTTCCAGGTTATTCTCTGATGTAGCAGTGTTTACCAGAGCCGTGTCAAGCTATTCAGCGCCCTGGGGCAAAATTTTTTCGCACCCCTTCCCTGCAATTTAACTATTAATCGTTTTCTTATTATATAAATCTCCATATTATCAAAAACCACGAAAACTAACTAAAATATAATATACAATATTTAATATATATTTTTAGTTTATTTTAACTAAAAATATTGATAACAAATTAATCATTAATAATTAATATATAAAAATACCAAACAATATTTTACAATTTTTTTCTTGCTTTATCTTTGGCAAATCTCTTGACTAAAGTACTCCAATCAATACTCTTTACAACTTTAGACTCCATGCACAACAATGATAAAGATGATGTTTTTTCATTAGCTAATGATGAACGGAGATATGTTTTTACTCTTTTCAAAACAGAAAATGAGCGTTCACCACTAGCATTTGAACAAGGCATGCATGTAAATATTTTAAGGGCAATTTCTATCGATGGAAATGTAGAACTTATATTATATTTTATTAATGCTTTCAATAAAGCGTGAAAAGAATTTTTTTGACTTTCTGGCATACACAAAACCATTTGTTTAAACTGTAATAATTCTTCAACAAATTCAATATCTAAGTCATCTTTGTATATATTTACTAACTTTTCAGCTCTTAATTTAAGCTCAGTTTGGTCTATGTCTGCTAAATGTAAAAAAAATCCAAATTTTTCATTTAATTCATTGTACGCTTCTTTTCGTTTATTTAAATTACTGATTAAAGCATCAATGATAGGAAAAAATGTTTTAATTTTCATGTTTTCTTTTTCTGAAAACATAATATCTTCCGAACCTCCTTCATCAAAAAATACAGCCCTTTTGTTTTGTCTTTTCAAATCATTGGGAAACAAATCTATTTCACAAATACTTATAGCTTCATTTAATATAGTTTCAAAATTATTTCTTAATTCACAAATATATAATTCAAGTGATGTGTATAATTTTACCACCGATGATAAATCCATATCAACACATTGTAAACTTTTGCTGGTCATGTTGAATCTTTCTAATATAGGTGTCCACAAGACTAACATGAATGTAAATTCTAGGTTTTTCATTTTTTTGAATAGAGCTAATGCTTCATGTCTTGTAGCAGGCCTCTGACTTACATCTTCTGATATATTTTGTAATGCAACAACAATCTTTTTATAACCATTTTTTATTGACTTGCAAACAAAATATCTTGATGACCATCTTGTAGGACATAAATTTTTAAGCAATGTTGAATTAGAAATAGAATTAAGTTCATTTTCTAAGATCTTCCAACGTGATGTAGAACCAGAAAAAAAAGTATACAAACTTTGAGTGATCATAAAAAACCGATTACCTACACTAGTCTCTTCAGATGCAAATGTACCAACTAAATTCAGTGAGTGCGCCGAACAAGGCACAAATTCAGCAGTAGAAGAGCTTTTTTTTATACGGGATTGTAATCCATTATAAATTCCAGACATATTTTGAGCATTGTCATAACTTTGTCCTCTACAGTTTTTCATGTCAATCCCAAGATCAGAAAAAAAGTGAAGTATAGCCAATTCCATATCTTTTGCCTTATGACCAACCGAAGGTAAAAATCCCAAAAAACGTTCAACAGGTGAACCGTCTGGTAGAATATATCTTATTGCAACTGTAAGTTGATCAACTTTTGATATATCAGGTGTAGAGTCTATGATAATTGAGAAATATTTAGAAGTTATAGTTTCCTGAACAATATTTTCTAAAACAGTTTTAGTCATGGTTAAAATTAAATCGTCACAAATGGTATTCGACAAATATGACACATTTCCTTTGCCTTTATTTGCATACTTGTCAATATGAGTAGAAAGAAATGGATCAAATTTAGAGATTAATTCAAGACATCCTAAATAATTTCCGTTGTGCCCAGAACCTAGGATTTGATCATCACCTCTAAATGCAAGTCCTCTAGATGATAAGAAAATAATAGTTTCAATTAAACGATGAATTACTTGTTGCCAATATGATTCTTCTTTCTGAATTTCAATTTTAAGCTGTTTGTCTATAGTTTCTAGATTTTCAGATTGTTTGGAAAACCATAATTTCACAGATCTAAGATGAATTTGATTTTTTTCATGATTTTTAACATAGTCTAAACATTTTTTCCAGTTTATAAATCCTTTACCTTGATGACTAAATGCAGTTTCATTTTGTGCAAATAGAAGACAGTAAAAACAGTATAAAGAATTTTCTGAACGAGAGTATAAAACCCAATCTCGAGATTTACGCTCACCATTATGTAATTCCCTTGTAAATACTTGCCTAGGAAGATACCGAGAATATTTACCAATTTTACGCAAAGTTGATTTAAACTTGATGCTCTCCCAACAAGTTGATATTTTATTGTGTACTAAATAATTTATTGTATTACTATTTAAAATCCATTTGGCTGGATCAGTTTCAAGGTAAACCAAATTTTTAGCCCTGTGTTCTATATCTGAATATTTCTGATCCTATAAAATTGTGTATTTTAGTATATTAGTATATATAAATATATAATATTATCTTTGTAAATTATTTATATATTCAATAATCATTTGATATTATTTAAAAATATTAACCATTTAATATATATTATAATATATAATACATTAATTACTATATTACAGCAAGCATGGGCAAGTTAATGATAATTTTTAACTGAGTTAAGTTAAGTTAATGTTTAAGTTAATTAACATCAATTATTAAATACTTACATTGTGTAAGTCAATCTCATCTAGGTCATTAAATTCTGATGCTTGTTCATGTAAATTCACCAACTCTTTATTTTTATTAGGGTCGTTAACTAAAAGAAACAAAAATATTAAATATATATATATATACCTATATATATATATATTTCTTTTTAATAAATTATTACCAGAACCAGAAATAAGCATTTGATCATCAATATTGTTTCCCAAACATCCAGTCTCAACTAAAAATATACACAGGATTACAATTTTTTTTTACAATATGTAACATGGATGGATTAAAATTAAATTGAGAAATGTTTAAAAATTAAAAAAATTGAATATTCATACAATATAAGATAGGTACATACCACAAGAACTAGGAATTTCAATTGTATCTGGAACATCAATATTATTTCCCAAACATCCAGTCTCAACTAAAAATATACACAGGATTACAATTTTTTTTTACAATATGTAACATGGATGGATTAAAATTAAATTGAGAAATGTTTAAAAATTAAAAAATTGAATATTCATACAATATAAGATAGGTACATACCACAAGAACTAGGAATTTCAATTGTATCTGGAACATCAATATTATTTCCCAAACATCCAGTCTCAACTAAACAATAAATTAAGTAATTATAATAAATATAGGTCCACAATTAAATTAAATATGATTTTATTAATTAGAATTTATAGATCTATTAATTATTTTTTTGGTACCCACCTGTCTCTAATTTAAAAAAATAATTTTGCAATTTAGGCATTTTTGAAACAAGCAAAGCATTTTTTTGAGCATTTTCTTTTGCTCTCTTCCTATTTTTACTGCCACTAGCTTTCTTTTTTCCAACTTCATTCACTGACTCCATAACGACAATAAGGAATAATTCAACGTGCAAATACTTAACTATAGTAAGTTATCAACAAGCCATTAGCCAATATAAATAAAATATAACTTATAAGCCAAATTACACGAGTCATAAAAAAGCATAATAATATAAAATAAACTGTAAATACTTACTAAATTATTAGCAATTGTAATTTACGTCAATTATAAAAATAAAACGCGCACAACGTATAATATCTTATAAGTTATAACTAGGTAATGTCCAATAGGCAATACTGAATAACTGAGCACTGTATACAGACGTCAGATAGTAACGGTTAGAACAGACATATTGTTCAATGGTAATATAAAATATTAATAATATTATAGTATATAAGTATATTATACTAATAACGGTTATCTACTGTAGTAGATAGGATAACGTTGATACTAATAATATCAATTTAATAATATTTAGCTATATAATCGGTAAATAATATCTAAATACGGAGAAATGGGTTTTTCTTTATCACCGTCGCCGTCACCAAGCCAGCCTATTTGTCACAAACAGTACCATATTATACATGATTCTAAAATAGACCTTAAAATACTAAAATATATATAATAATAAAATTATAACATATTTGGTTCTCGAGGCCACATGTAGTATATTAAGCGCAAATAAAGGCGCCCCATTATTTTTACAAAACTACGGCGCCCGGGGGCAATTGCCCCCTTTGCCCCCCCCCCTTAACACGGCTCTAGTGTTTACACTTTCGTTTATGACCTATTTATTAAATATATAAACATTATATTTTTATTAATAGAATTATTTTTAATGTCAATTTTTAATTTTTAATAGGTCCATAAAACAGTACAAGAATGGAATGAAATTATTTCTGGTTTTGATTCAACTTGGAATTTTCCAGCATTTGGTGCTATTGATGGAAAGCATATTATAATAGACTATCCAGCACACAGCGGATCAATTTATTTAAACTACAAAGGAACATTTAGCATAGTTATTTTAGCACTTGTAGACCATAATTACAATTTCATATGTATAGATGTAGGAAGCTATGGCAGTAACTCAAATGGAGGTATATTTGCAAAATCAAGTTTACGAAAAGCAATTGAAGAAAATAAATTGAACATTCCAGAAGGATCTGTTATAATTGGCGATGAAGCTTTTCCGCTTAAGATGTATTTAATGAAACCCTATGCTAGACGTAACCAATTATCAAAACGAGAGTAAATGTATAACTACAGACATTGTAGAGCAAGGCGCATTGTGGAATAATGGCTAGCCGTTTTAAGATTTTTAGAAAACCAATACCACTTTTACCAGAATCTGTTATAAAATTAGTTAAAGCTTCATGTGCATTGCATAATTGGTTGAGAAAAAAATGTGGTAAGAGTAACTCAATATCGGTAGATATTGAAGATCATGAGACAGGCCGTATCTTACCTGGATCACGGAGAAATGAACCAGGATCTTTTGGACTTGTCAATATAGCAACATCAATTCAGAGAAATTATGTTATTGAAGCTAGACAAAAACGAGATAGATTTGCAGATCACTTTATGGGTGAGGAGCTGTGAGTTGGCAGAGTAGAATAATGGATTAATGTTACTTAAATTATTTTAATTAAAAAAATACTTACTAAATTAGTTTCTACTTGTATGTTATCCTCAACATTTCTTCAAAGAAAGCTGTTAGCAAATTCAAACCACGACAATTTAGGTTTATAAACGGTTTTTGACCCTGGCCCTGTACCTTTTGAATTTCATATTTTAGAGACTTCTTGGTTATAAGTACACCTGAAAAAAAAAATAAAAATCAGTAAATTAATAAAGAAATATCATTAAATTAGCACTAGTACACAAATTACCTAATACTTCTGATCTTTTGTCTAAGTAACTTCACATCATTAATTTGAAGCGATTCCACAATTCCACGATTCAACACTCTTCTGCAAAATCTCTTTTTCCTCTACTTTTGTATTCTTCAATACTTTTATCCCAAAGGCATGGATACCTCTGGTATTCTTTCAGAAAGTGCATAGTATTAAATTTGTCTGCCATCACTTAATTTTAACCGGTAATAATTTAAGGAAAAACTGTAAACAAACTATACAGATTTTTAGCACGTAATTCGCACGAATTCGCCCGCCCGGTTTGAAAATTCGCACTACCTTCCTCCCCTCCGAAAACAAAAAAATCATTTTTTGTCAATACAGATTTTTTATTCAATCAAGATATTTTCCATTGTACTTAGAATATTTTTTTATTAAATACAGTTGTCTATTAAGTTTTTTATTTAATATGGATTGTATATTAAAAATAAATTTTTTTTAAACAGGTGTTTTACTAAAGTTTTTTTATAGATTTTTTATTCAACTAAGCTTTTTTTTAGGTTATATGCACTATTGTAATTAAATATTTTTCCAAGCTTACCATTATAATTTTGATTGAATAAAAAAGCCTAGTTGAATAAAAAATCTATAAAAAAATCCTGAGTAAATTACATTTAGTTAATAAAAAAAAATCAATTTTTAATAAACAATCTATAATAAATAAAAACTGTAATCAATAAAAAAATAATGTAAGTAGAATAGAAAAAATCTTGATCTAATAAAAAGTCTATCTTGACAAAAAACCTTAATAAAAAATCTATGTTGAATAAAATATAATCTAATTTTTAATAAAAAATTTGATTGTATACAAATCTAAAAAAAATCCTTCGTAGAATGCCTATAGTTAATAAAAAAACAATCAATTTTTATTAAATAATCTATATGAAATAAAAATCTATATTTGATTAAAGAATCTATATTAAACAAAAAAATCATAATAAATTGGGCTGCCAAAACGTACGTCAATCGAACACATGGGCTAATAGGCTTTCACCTATCAAGATAGTATGGTGCAATAATTGTTTACACGATGATAGAACGATAGGACTATTACGATAGAACTCCCAACTATTACGAGCGTCTCGGGAGCAAAATTGCGCGACCAATCAGAATCGTTCACATTTGTTATCACCATTTGTGAAAATCACGTTTATTATCATAGATTATAAATAATATATATAAAAAAAATAGAAGCGCATTTTTACAGATAAATAGATATTAGTAAATGAAAAATATAATTAAATAATTGTTGCAAAACTTTTATTGTATATTTTCCAAATGAATTTACAAAAAGTTATTCTGTCTCCAATCTCATTTTAGTACTCAACAAATCATACTGTTGTTTGGTTTTATGATTTTATAAATAATAAAAAATAAATAAATAATCATTATTGGTATAATAATTATTCAATATAATTAAAGAGAAAAAAGCCGGCCGCTGTCGGACTCGCGCACGAAGGGTTCCGTACCATTATCTAAAATGGCCGCAATACGATTGCGCGCGGTCCTTATCAGTGATACCTTTTTAGGCGTACGATTGCGGGTGCTAAATTATTTTTACTTCTAAGTAACGTTGCCAAATACACCGATTATAGGTTTTAAATGAAATTTTCATAATAACTTCAGAAAGGGGGAGTGATTTATTAATGGTGAAGAAACACAAATTTCGACACGTCAGACATCGGGAAACAGCAGATGGTCGATTAATTTTACCGTGGGGGGGGGTAAATATATCCTAGGATATTTTTACCCCCCTGTCGATTAATTTTACCGGTGGTGGGGGGTATATATTATATCCTAGGATATTTTTACCGGGGGTAAAATTAACCTAGGATATTTTTACCGGGGGGGGGGGGAAACATCCAGAGATAAAAATCGCCTGTTACACCGGCACCGCGCGCAATCGTACTCCACTGATCTAAAATAATTATGTCTGTTGACATTTGCGGGGTGGGAAAAAATTTTGTAACTTAAAATGATTCACTTTAATTCTGTATTAAAATTTATAAAACGAATCTTTGTATACGACGTCACTCATGGCAACCATTTATTAACAATACGACTTCACTCGTGGTAACTATTTATAAACAAAAATTTCCATCTGAAATTTCAAAATTCCTGTTTTAGAACCCCCCGAGGTTGCTCCTATCCTTTTTTTAGTATTTGTTGTTATAGCATCCACGGAAATACATGATCTGTGAAAATTTCAACTTTCTAACTATCATGGTTCATGAGATACAGTCTGGCGACAGACGGACGGACGGACGGACAGCCGAGCGAAAGTAATAGGTTTAAGTAGGGAAACGTATGGAACCCTAAAAGCCACATTTTATGTTTTGTATTTTCAATGTAAATAAATATAACATAGTGACACATAAATAATACAGTGACAGTGATTCATTTTTCATTTAATATTATACTTTACGTTTGTTAATTTGATTTTATATTTAAACTAGCTGATCCCGTGTACTTTGTTACCCGTTAAATGTACCAAATCTATATGACTTAAACTTTAAAATTTTCTTTGGTTTTAATTATATTAAAGTTGCTTATAAATTATTTCTGATTTCAACCAATATTTATTTTTATAATAGCTTTAAAACCCATGGCAACCATTTATAAACAAAAATATCCACCGTAAATCCCAACATTCCTGTTTGAGCACCTCCCCTTAATGGGCTTACCTGGTCCGATTGTGAATCTAAACCATTCAAAGGCCCACTCAACTACTCAAGCACACACAAAAAATTTCATCAAAATCGGTCCAGCCGTTTAGGAGGAGTTCACTTACAAACACACGTACGGTAGAATTATATATATAAATAATTATTAGCCCTTAGGTTTAAAATATTAGTCACAATTATAAAATGTAAATATAATGAATTGATTCAGTGATTCAATGACATTTTAATGAGCTGAATCACATGAATTAGTTCACTAAAATGAATTGAAAGTACCCATCATTAACCTGTATGATTGTCGATTGATGATTATTGTATTATCACATTATAATTTTTATAAAGGATGATAAGAAACGTGATTTTCACAAATAGTGATAAGTGATAACAAATGTGAACGATTCTGATTGGTCGCGCAATTTTGCTCCTGAGACGCTCGTCAACTATTATGCATGCTTGATAGTGTGATAGCACTATCGCAATAGTTCGATAGTTACGTTTACACGACGACACTCTCACGAGAGAAGCTATCACGAAAGCAACTATCACGTTTTACTATCATCGTGGAAATCCGGCTTTAATGATATGTTTCTTGCAAATATTATTGTCACTGATATTCCAGGACAATGGGAATTTTCACCATTTAATTTCTAAAAATATACATTTTCAGTGTTGAAAATCACTATGGGATATTAATATATTATTAAGCCGCGGTCAGAGTAGATCGCGATAGTCGCTGTCGTGACAGAATATGATAGTCTGCTATCACAATCACTGCCTGTTCACACGCATGAGCAATTTTACGATAGTACATTTCCTAAACCTGCGATAGTCGTATAATTTGTATCAGCTGTTTTGTAAACTGTCTTTTTTCGTTCTGTTAAATTCAATTTTTTCAATCTGTATTCTGTTTTAAATTTATTACTAAAATGTCTACCGACGAAGTAGAACTTGCCATTGTGCGTGTTATTGAGGAACTAATAAAATTAAAAAGGGGAAATAAACAAGTAGCTAAAGGTAATAAGAAAATGTGTTTAAAAACGTGGATACTAAAGAGGAATCAATTGGGAGTATCTAACACATTGCTAAGAGAATTGGCACTCGAAGACCATCAAAGTTATTCTAACTTTTTGCGAATTAATGAAGATATGTTCAATATTTTATTGCAAAAGGTAATTATTGTACATTCACTCAAGTTAAGTATACCAATTTATACATGGGGGTTTATTGCTTAAATAAGTTGAGTCTAATTTGTATATTTCATACTAGGTATTTAAAAGATTTAACAACCCAATAAGTAATTATTTTACAGATCCAACCAAAAATACAAAAAAAAGACACAATAATGAGAAGTACATTACCTGCTAAGATAAAACTGGAATTGGCATTGCGATATTTAGCAACAGGAGATTCATATAAAACATTGCAGTATATGTACAGAGTGGGAAAGTCATCAATTTGTGACTTCATGCCAGAAGTTTTCCAAGCAATTTATGAACTACTACAAGAGTATATTGAGGTATGGAAATAAATATAAGAAACAATAACTTTTATTGTACAAAATACAAAAAACAAACAAAATAACTTTTATAAATAACAAAAACTAACACTTTTTTGTTCAGTGCAGATTATATTAATACTTATACAATAAAATAACATTTTCTCTGTTCTGTCTATTAAGACTTTTAAAATTTAGACTTAATAAAAATTAATACAAACTTAAACAAATCACTTAATTTTTAATTATGTAAAGTTGTTGTAGTACACTGATATATTCTCTGATTCAGATACATCGTCATCATATGTTTCTGGCTCATTCTCTTCAATTTGACTATAATCATAGTTTGTTTCGTTTATAATTTTAGTATAACGTCCTGTAGAAGATGCTGCTATTTCTTCAAAACGAGCCTTTGTTAGCATACTTTGAATTTTTTCTTGTAAAAAAACTGATTTTTCTAACGGTAACTTTTCCAATTTTGCTGCTACATGCTGTCCAAAAATAAGAAATTCATTTGTTATTGACATTTGTTCGCAAACAAATTTGAGTTTATCAACGGCTCTATTCAACGATTCGTCATAGCTTGAAACTTTATTTGTTGTTAGGCCACTTTTTTTTTAGTGCGTTTTTTAGTTGTAGTTGTTTCAGTTATGTTTGCTTCGATACCTTCAACACTTTCAAGAGCTTCAGTACCTTCAATACCTTTATTCAATAACAAATTTGGGGTTTCAAGTTCTTCAACTTGAATGTTTGTACTCTCAGAAAATGAAATTGCCTAAAATAAATACCTAAATAATAATATATTTATACTAATTATAAAAACTTAAAATATTTCATTTATATAATCAATTTTTCAGGTTCCTTTTGAAAAAGTAAAATGGAATAAAATTGTCAACGGTTTTGACAATCTTTGGAATTTTCCACAATGCACAGGTTTTGTTTAATCATCATGTACGGTTATGAGTCACAGAAAATAATATCATGTTTATGTTATATGTTTACAGGTGCCATTGATGGAAAACATATTGTCATGGAATGCCCATCAAATTCAGGCTCAAATTACTATAACTATAAAGGCACTTTTAGTATAGTTTTGCTTGCATTAGTCGACCATAATTACAACTTTTCTTGCATCGATATAGGAAGTTACGGAAGCAAATCAGATGGCGGAGTTTTTGCAAAATCTGCTTTGAAAAAAGCATTAGTAGAAAATAAGTTGAATATGCCACATGAAAGTGTAATTCTAGGAGATGAGGCCTTTCCTTTACAAACTTATTTGATGAAACCTTTTGCAAGAAGAAACATTTTAACAAAACGCGAAAAAATATATAATTACAGACATTGTCGTGCCAGAAGGATTGTAGAATTTGGAATATTTGCAAGTCGTTTCAGAATATTTAGACGACCAATTCCGTTGTCTCCAGATAAAACAATCAAATTAGTTAAAGCTGCCTGTGCTCTACATAACTGGATAAGAAAAACTGGTAATAGTTCAAAGCCTATATCAGTTGACATTGAAGATACTGAAACACGAAGTCTTATAGAAGGTTCATGGAGCAATTATCCAAAACCTTCAGGTTTATTGGATTTAACACCTATTCAAAGAAATTATGCAACAGATGCAAAACAAAAGAGAAATTATTTAGCAGACTATTTTGTTGGAGAAGGAGCAGTTGTGGCAAAATCGAATGAATGAATAATTAATAATATATATTTTAAAGTCTATACATATTTCTATACAACTTTAAAAACTATAACTATATAACTTAATAAAAACTTTTTTTGTAACTTCTTATATCTTAAAATATTATATTATTAAAATAAAACTTACCAAATTTGAATCAGATTCTCTCTCTAAATCGTTATTTTTGTTCAAAGAGCTGTCAGCAAATGTAAACCAACTTAATTTTGGTACGTAAACATAATGTTTACCAGACCCTGTCACCATGGATGATCTTACTTTAGCTTTCTCTTGATTATAAGTACATCTGAATCAAAAATATATAAATATATAATATGAACTATTTATTAACTACCTATGTTCATTGTATGTTATGTGTTTGTCTAAATATGTATCTTGGGTCAAAAAAATAAAATGTTAGCTGTAAATTCAGTGTTGTAAAATACTTGAGTAAAATCATTCAAATATTTTTAAAGTAGGTACCTAGGTACTCGAATACATATTTAAAATAGAATCTGTATCTGTACTTGAATAATGAGGAGTTAACCCCCTGGGGGGTAATATTCAGTGTACAAGGTGATGGTAATCATGGGTAATCATAGGTAATCTTTGTAGTAAATCATGGGTAATCATAGGTATAATCATTGAAATCAGTAATCTGGTGTATAAAACTTCTGTCAGGTATTTACCCCTCGTTGAATAATTTGTAAAAAGATACTTTTACAAGATTGGCATATAATATATTACCTATGCAACACATACCTGATACTTCTCATCTTTTGCCTCAGTTCTTTAACAGTTTTTAATTTAGTAAAATCAAGTAGGGCTTCCTCAGCAGCATCGCGTTTGTGTCGCAGTTTATAGTTTACATCCTTATTAAACAATAAACAATCTTTGATATTCCTCTAGAAAACTCGGTATATCATAATCTGCCATTTTGAAAACAATAATCAATATTACTAATTAAAATATTAATATTAATGAAAACTAAAAAAATTCAATTCAAAAACGATAAATAATATTGTACCATGACCGTCTCCTGTAATAGCGTGAATGTGATAATATGCTGTTCGCACGATGAAAGTGCGGCTCTGTCTATACTCTATACGCAGTCGATTAGACCACCACCGTCGTTAACAACAAAATTGTTATCAAATCGTATCATCCATTATAATAAATACCTACATTACATTATTTCATATATTATAATATAACATAATAAAATATTATTATATAAATTGTAGAATTTGATGCATATTTTGCATATACAGCAATTGCAATTTTGGTCGCGACCTGTTTTTTTGCTCAAAAACATGCCTTACAGGAAAAACTCTCACGCCTTGTAGATTGGTCCGATTTCCGTAATTTTTTTTTTTTTAAATAGAGAAAGACGTATTGCAGGGCGCATTGGACTTGGATTTTCAAAATTATTTTTCGAAATCTTATATTACAAGTTTGAATTTAATCCATTTTTACAACTTTTTAGTTTTTGTATTATTATTTATTTTTAGCAACGTAATCAAAAATCAAAGTCCAATGCGCCCTGTAAAAAATATTCTTCTATCTAACAAAAAAAAAAAATTACGGAAGTCGGACCAATCTACGAGGTGTGAGAGTTTTTCCTGTAAACTGTGTTTTGACCGATATAATACACCCTATCAACCCCCCCTAAATAGGTATTGGGTAGTAGATTAGTGGAAAAGTCTTATAATTGAGGTGGCAACTAAAATATAAAATTTAATTTTCAAATTTTATAAAATTGCGGAAAATTTGAAAAATCGCGACCAGGCCCCTTAACAAAAGTAATCTATGTTATAATATATTTTAAAATGCGAAACCTTAGAGTACCTATAAGACGGGACTTCTGGCCATTGAAATGGAATTATTTAAAATAATATTATATTATAAATATACTATGTATTTGCAAATTAAATGTTTATGTTTATCTTACCCCAATATTCAAATAATAATCTCAATTTTTCTCTATTATGGGGAATTAGGTAATGGCTCGATAGGGTAGGCGTAATATAATTTTTTAAATATCATGATCAAAGTAAAGTTATTATTGTACTAGTTAACTCTTAAGTTTAAGCAATTTTTAAAAACTAACACTATTAAAAATATTTTTGATTAACTGAGTTTATTTAATAATCATTGTGTGATCTGTGAACAAAAAAAAAATATATATATTGAAGATAACTTGATATGAATGGGTTATTCCACTTTAATACTATTTGTACCTATATGACATACGTACATATTTTATGAAACTCTTAGTTTTTTGATTAAATCATTTTTTTCAATCAATTTTTTTTGTTTTGAATCATCTTTGGTGCCGTTTTTTAAATTATTATTTTAAAGGAAATGGAAGACACTACATATTTTAACAGACTGAAAAATTTCCTAGACAGCTCAAGCTTAGTGAATAATATTTCTATTCAAGGAGAAACTAGAGATTTGAATGTGTTAATTAAACGTTTGTTAGAATTAGTTTTTGGATATGTTGTGGCAAAGTCTATAAAATATGAAGGTAATTTATTAAATAAGTCTGAATGTTTAAATAGTTATTTATTGAATTTCAAAATAATATTATTAAATAATATAATTTCAAAATAATATTAAAATGTGTTGACAGGAGAAAAATCTAAGTACAGATTTTCCCTTGAGCGTGGAGAATTTCCAATTAAATTTATGGGGTGTCAATTTTTAATTAAACAGCACATTTATTTTGAATGTGTAAATGGACCTCACCACAAATCTAAAGAAAATACAGATGTAATAACACTACTTTAATACATTTCTAAAATCAAATATCTTACTTAGAAATTAACTTTATTTTTTTTACTTTTTTGGCATTTATAGAATGATCACCCTACTTGTGTTAAAAAAAGATTTTCTCTAAAGAGTACAAAAAAATTTAACTGTCCAGCAACTATAGTAGTTGTAAAATTATTATATTTCCCTGATTTTACAATTGAAGAAAGCTCATCATCTAATTGGCGATCTAAAAAACAGGTACCTAAAAAATAAAAATGAGAAATTAGTTTAACTTACTATACTGAAACCTTTAGCCTATTTAAAACATATTTTATTGAAGTACCTACAAGACATGGTAATATAAATTTATAATTTACAGATGATAGAAAAGTTAAGAAATGAGTTGAAAGTAGAAAATTTACAAATAAATACCAAAGAAAAATACTTACTACTTCTGTCACTTCCTTCAGCACACAATCATGCAATTGAAACATCTCTTTTAAATCTACCTATTGATAGTTCAGTACTAAAAGAAATTTCCCGATTGGTAAATAATGGGTTTTCTAATATTAAGATTGTATCATCTATGCTGAGGGACTTTGTTGAAAGAACTTGTACAACTTCACCCTCTCCAATATCCCGAGCATTTTATCCTGATGAAAAAACAATAAGAAATTTTATTATTAAATTTACTTATGAAAAACACCAAAGTAAAATTGATCAACATGCCCTGGCTGTTAAAATTGAACAATGGACAAAATCTTACTCAAATGATAATTACTTTTTTTCGGCAGTATAATGAATCCAATGATAGTATAAAACCACTTCTTTTCTGCCATCAAACAGAATGGCAAAGACATTTAATAACACGGTATGGTAACACATGTCTGCTTGATGCAACTTATAAAACGACAAAATATGCTTTGCCTCTGTTTTTCTTAGTCGTGAAAACCAATGTCAATTATTGTGTAGCAGCAACATTTATTGTAATGTGTGAAGATACAGATTCAATCAATGAGGCTCTATACATGATTAAATCCTGGAATGATAAGTGGGTTCCTCAATATTTTGTTACCGATTATTAGATTATTATTTAGATTCATTTTATAATACAAAAAATTAAATTAAATTAAATTAAATTCATTCCAAATCGTCTTTTTACATTCATTACATTTGCTGTAAAAATGGCTGCAGTTTTTTCACCTATAGAACTATGAGGATCATAAAATCTTTCCATTGCTTTTTGTTCTAAAATTTTATCAGCAATATGTCTTGTTTTAGTATCCTTATTATCTTTATAAAAATAATCATGTTCTCTCGCAGCTTCATCTAATTTGTTTTTAGGTTTTTTATTTTTTTCTAACTTTGTTCCCGGTCCTAAATAATTATAACCAGGCCAATGCATTTCAGGTAAATTTGAATAATTAACAATTCCTGAACCTGTAATAATTTTCTTTGGTAAACATGAAACATATGATGATAAATAATCTGCACCGTTAATAGGTTATCAATTAATTTTTCCATTTCTCTAATACAAATATTAAGAATATCAAGTTTTTCATCATGAAAATATTATTTCCTATACTTTCTTCAATTGATATATACTGTATACGTTTAATTATTTTTTCTTTTGATATTTTCACTTCCTTTGGTAAACAAGTTACATATTTTAGTAAATATTCAATACCTTCAGGAGTATTAATAAGATTTTCCATAATTGATTTAAATAAATGAACAATACCAAGTTTTTCGTTTTTAAAATTATTATTTCCAGCTCTTTCTTCTGAAGAAATAAACTATAAATTATCTATCACTTGGTTTACATTACTAATATAACGATATTCATTACGATTTTCTGTGTATTTCTTTAAACCCTCCCCTATTTGATTATCTTCAGCTAATATTTCATTATTTTCTTTTTTTTCACTAACTTCATTATATTCATTATTTTCTTTCTTTTTATTATTTTTTTCTTATCAGTTGTTTCTGTCATTTCTCTCCAAATATCACTAATCATATCTTTATATTTTTCACCACGACTTGATTTAGCTCTTTTCGTTGAAGGATCATTGTTTTGATATATAGAATTAGTTTCAAATAATATATTTTTATAAATATTAAAATCATCATCTGTATAAAATTTTTTGGGTGTAGGAATTTGATGAGTTAATAATCTCCATAAACCTGGTGTTAATATACATCTTTTTCCATTTAATATTATATCATCATTATCAAGATTGATTATATCTTTTCCAATC